TTACTGCTGGCGGGGGTCGATTCAAGACTGCCGCTCTTACTAGCCAACACCTGTGGTTACAGACCACGCTTTGTTACGAGCCAAATTCTCCTTACGTCCGGCAAACAACCGTAAAAAAACCCACCGAAAACGTATACCTACGATACAACGTCAGCGATTGTTGCAAATCGGCCTTCGAAGCGTAACTGTCCGATCGCCTGTCAGTTCAGCCACCAGCCGGAGGACTCAATGACCACTGGAGGCAAATCAAGGAAGCTATGCAAATATCAATAAAAACAACGTCAGACCCTCACGCAGGCTCAAGACATAAACGACGGATCTCATCGACCTCCGCTGCCCTGCTGGACGCCCGCAGAACCCAATGCCGGATGTGATACAGCGCGCAAATCCCTTAAACGGCAGCTCATCATGAGCCTGAGGAATGATCGCGAGAAGTGGTGGATAGGGAAGTGTAGAGAGATGGAGAAGGCTGCGGCTATTCGTGAATATCGCATTCATTTCCGAATAATAAGGAGCACATATCCAAGGAAAGCAGGCGTGAGATAATTAAGGAGTCCGACGGCACATTGATTCAGAATCATCAATGCCGTCTAGATCGATGGGCAGAACATTTTAAGGCTCATTTCAACTGGCCCTCGTCAACACAAAACTTCTCTATACAATCTATGAATAGTAAAATGTATCTGTGCCTATTGGTTTCTTTAGAACACAACTTTCTTTCGTCAGCCGCGAAAATGCACGGGGTAATTTTAATTCTGTGCATGTGTGGTTCATTCGGTTCGCTTTTTGCTTGGCTCAAGGATAACAAGATCTAACAGGTAAAGATGGACAGGAAGGAATAGTGATGGGAGATATGCATAAATATATATTTCGCACACATCTGACTTCAGCATGTACCAAACAGATCACAACAATAATCATTACAAGAAAGAGAAAGTTCCATGATTTGCTTGTGGGCGCGATATTGTCAGGTTGCCCAGGCCAAGGCAGGTGAATTTCCTTGGGGGATGCACAACCGGATCCTTTGGTAGTCAAAGCCTTATCCACAAGACCGCGGTTTGGTGTATGAAAACCACAATCCACTGAGTGCCATGATCCAGTTCATCGAATCACGCCATTTGGACGAGGTGAGAGATCTACTGTACCCAGTCAAGCTGGTGATCACTGTCACAACCAAAAAGTTTAGTGTTGGTGGCTTGTACGATCTCCTTGGTTGGTTTTATATCGGGGACTTATGCCAACTTCCGNCAACTTCCGTAGGTGAACTTCTAGTGTTTCACGGACCCTGTTAGCTCCGGATGCTGGCTTTTCGTCCTATCACTTTGACCTAAAGGCGGTGAGTAGGGCTTGCTTAGCAAAGGCTGTCTGATGCGTTTGTACAGAAACACTTCGCGAGGTGTAGAGAAATGGTGATCACCCACTACTCGACACCCCCCACCGACCATACTGAGGCTTTCGGAGGCATGCTAGTGGAATGGATTGGCGATCATATGTTTTATTGATGCTGAAATCTGGATTCTTCCACTTTTGTCGCTTACCATAAAAAATACTGTGTCTATGTCGTATTTTCCCCGTTCGAACTTAGGTGGTCTTCGATAGTATGACATTCTCCGGTCTACGGGAATGAAATGTAAAAAATCGCAATTTTACCGCGTGTGTTTCATGCACATACTGCATATGATAAAAAATTTACTCAATATGTCATGCAGCACCGCTTAGGACACTGTGACTCAGTCCTCCCACTGATTGAGGTATGCCGTTAGTTTCCAGGTTGTACGCTACGGCATTCAGTGCCCCCAAGCGAAAATTCGATTTCGCCAGGCGCATGTTAAAATACCTATACATCTTCAGTATAGCTGTGGGTCAAAACATAACACACATTGAATTGCGTAATCCTGATCAGAGGGATTCATGCTAAATTGCAGAAAGCGGCGACGCGTTAAAAATTCGCCCGTGCATTTTACTTTCCACTGTGCGCCGAAACCGGATCTTATCTGGATAATGCAGCTTCTCACTTACTGCGGTGATCATGCAACGAGATCGGACGACAGTACCTATCCATTACGCGATACAGATTCCAACCACCCAATCAGGAGATGGAGTTATCGACCAATCTTGCGGTTTCAACTACAACCAATCGAATGGGCTGAATGCGGGAAGAGCGACTAAATGGACCATACCATTGCCGATTGAGCGTCGAGGAATCAGCCAACGGTTGATTGACATTTGTGATATTTATTCACATGATTTTCGGAATAAAATTAACTGTATCCGTAGCTCATCTTGGTTTTACCTGACTGCACCATTCAGTGAGTTTTCCGTCCAAATCCAGGTTCACGCAATTTTATTCCCAGCAATAAATTGACTCACGGCACGGAAACATTACCTTTCAGGTACCATAAGTGTTATTCTTCCATGACTCTGATTGTTCCTATTCCACACATGGTGCTTGTGAGAAAAATCATAGTTCAAGAACCAGATCACACTGTGGACTGTCATATACATTTTGTTTTATTCGATATTGTTGGAATATACGCAAGTTTAAGTCTTTCATATGTATATGTATATAGGTATATGCGTTTGTTTTAAATATGTATGTACGTATATATAAATATTTATATGCAAATAAATGGGCACTATGCTCTGCCTTGAGTGAATGGGTGTTTGTGTTGAAGGAAACAAAGTACTTGATGAAATTTCAGAAGGAAGCGTTGGTTCGCGATCGACGAAAGGGCAAGAGATAGGGATCATGTACAATGCGTGCTGCACGCTATGGACTGCAGACAGGGGATTTATGTGTATGGGTTTATGCTGTTGGTGGTGGCACACGTATGAAGAAAGGTTTGATTTAAGGTAACCATCGCTTCAAATCCATGATTAGGGTAGTCTTTTGGGGTTGCAGTGACAAGCTTCCCAGCGCAAACCATTTGGTTCTCGTTCAATGAACGTGGCCGATAGAATACAATTACGGATGATTTTAATGTGTGATACGTGTATTAGAACAGTTGCTATGACATGCATTGTTTGAAGAGTGGGTAAATTTGTCCGATCCTGGTGAATGGAGTTGCCAGGGCTACACAACAGAAGAGGAAAAAACAGGCAGAGAAAGAGAGTGTGCTGCGTTGCCGGGACATTCTTGTCTACGGATTCAATAAAACGAGTAAATAAGAGGAATACAGAAGGTCCTAAGATGACGACTGATGATTATTCCGTGAAGAGTGACACGGGACTGTTATGATACTCAGTCCTCAGGATACGATCTTGAGGTAGTTAGTTGCATATATGCGTGAGGGAGAAACTGGATTCAGAACAGCAAAAACAGCAAAAGAAAACCAGACGATCTCTCATTCGATCCCCATCTGTCCATCTCACACGCATTGGATACAACCGCATCGTTTGACCAGTTTAACAGTGCGTTCGTAAGTCGAGCCATTCGTACACTGGAACTGAACACGACGATGTCGGACTTTAATGGGTTGACAACAGGTGTTGGTCTCCTGTTCCGATCGCCGGTGTCGTCGCATCGATTCGGGGAGCCAGAGTGAACGAGTTGTGTCCGATTCAGAGTGTGGCAACTCACTCAGATTGGACGATGCTTCATCTCCAGGACTCGCAGTTCCGACATCGCCACTACACGATCCGGCACATGTCCGGACGGTGAGTTTGCGAGTAGAGACGCAATTCGTTTGCGGATCGCGAATAAATGACCGTTGGGTATTGCGATGACACGGTTGTTCTGGGGTGGGTGGGTGTTGGTTGACGGAAAATAAAAATTTTCGATTATGTTAGTCTAGTGTGGTAGGACGAAGGTAACAGACGATTCGATTTGGTACTGAACAGTTCACCACTCTTTTTGCTGTCTTTGTTGTCAACCATTGTTAATGAGAGGAAACGCTACTTTTTCTGGTTCAAAAAATCGTTGTTACTGTCGTGTAGGGGAAGGTAAGCAATAATACGGAAAACGAATGCTCATTTGACGAAATAAATACTGCCATGTTGTGTGGTTACTCAACTCCACCACTTTATTGCATACAAGTCGAAATTGAAGCAGCGCCTGTTCAAATGGAAATTGATACTGGAGCATCCGCGTAGATCGTCAGCACCAAGACTGTCGAGAATTTACTCCGATTAACTAGTTGCTAGTCCACATTGGGAACTGACACTGATCAGACAATCCCGGTTCTGGGTAAATTTGGCGTGCATGTGCAGTTAAATGACGAGAAACGTAAACACTCAGTCTTTGTTGCAGGAGAAAAATGCTCTAACTTGTTTGGGCGGGACTGGATCAAGGTATTCCCAAACGCACTGGATATAGTGAAGCAGTTAGCCTTAAAAACAATACTATCTAAACACGCGGATGTATTTGATGACAGCTTGGGAAAACTGAAAGAATTCCAAGCAAATATCAAACTGGATCACAATGCACAACCGCGGTTCATCAGATTACGCTTCTTGCCATACGCACATTCAGATCGAACTTAGAGGAAGAATTGAAGAGATTACAGGAGGAAGAAATAATTATCGCAGTTCATTACTGTGAATGGGGAACACCGATAGTCCCCGTGAGCAAACCAGGTGGTTCCGTTCGAATTGGCAGCTTATGGTGAACCGTTTCGTCGCCTTGGACAGATATTCACCACCACACGTGGAGGATTTAACGGGTGGCCAAAAGTTTACCAAAATTCATTTGAGTCAGACATATTCCCAAATCGAATTAGACGAATCCTCTCGTGCCCCGACAACAATCAAAACCCACAATGGTCTCTTACAGTACATTCGCTTACCCTTTGGAATTAATTCTGCGCCAGCAATTTTAACCTGGTCAAAGATATTCCATTTACCTGTGCGTATTTGGACGATATTCTCATCTCTGGTGGTACACATGAGGAACATTTACAGACACTATCCAACTTTCTCGAGCCTTTACACGTACACGACCTGAATCTGAAACGATCCAAATGCGAGTTTCTCTGTGGTTCTGCTTTTTATCTTGGTTACCGTCTTGATAAAAACGGACTCCATATCATAGAGGACAAAACCAAACTCATATTAAAAGCTCCAGAACCTCAAAGCTTAATAGAGCTTGTCTCTTTTCTTGGCATGCTCTCCCATTACCGTCGACTTTTCCCTAATATTTCCCAAACGCTCGAACCACTGTACACCCTACTATATAAAGATAAGTCATGGTTCTGGAGTCATAAACAGAGAAGGGGTTTCATTGCTGCCAAACCCTTTTAGAATCATCGTCATTTTTGGCACCTGTTGACCCAAACAAATAAATTTTGATTTAGTGTGATACATCTCCATCTGGCTTTGGTGCCGTGTTAAGCCATCGCATGGAAGACAATTCGACAAAGCTCCTGTAGCTCTTACATCAAGAACACTGCGGAAAAGAATTACTCTCAACTGGATAGAGAAGCCATGGCTGTGATTTTTGCCGTGAAACGTCTCCATTCGTACATATGGGGCCGCCTGTTCAAGGTACACATCGATCATAAACCCCTACTAGCCATACTGGACAAATCGAAGACAATCCATCAGTGTTACTCGCCAAGATTACAGAGATAGGCATTTCTCCTAAGTGCTTACAAGTAAGAATTGCACAATTTTACGGTTTTCAGTAACGTAACGGTGGACGCATTGAGTCGCCTTCCATTACCGACCAAAGTATAAATGCATGGACCCTCCCTCCCGAGCTAATCTAATCTCATGCAACACCTGGATACTACTCCAAATAAGAGCAAGAATATTTAACGAATGACAGTCAGTGAGCCATCTCTATCCATGCTAAAACGATTTATACTCTTGGGATAACCTAGTGAGGTTCCTGCAACGTAAAAATGAACTCAGCTAACACGACGGTTGTATTTTTTGGGGAAGCCGTATAGTCGTACCCCGCAGGGCTTGACCACAACTGTTGCGCGAATTGCGTGATGCTCTCACCCTGGTGTTACCTAAGTGAAAGCCCTAGCAAGAGGATGGTGTTGGTAACCACGGATTGATCAAGATATTGAGTATTTATTAAGGACAGGTGATGTATGCCAGAAGCTTCCAGATCTTATTTTTGCGTAGTGTTGGCCAGATAAACCATGACAAAGGATAAATGAAGATTATTTTTGCCTTATAAACGGAATGAGGTGTTTCATCATAGTAGATGCTTACTCGAAGGGGATAGAAGTTCATCCAGTTAGTCATGCTATGGTAGAGGTTGCGGTTACCAAGATGCCTTGTTTGCAACATTCGATATCCCAGAAACAATTTGCACGGACAACTGAACACCGTTTACCAGCGAAGAGTTCCAAAACTTTATGCGCAACAATGGAATACGACACATTCCCTTAGCTCGTTAGCACCCGGCATCGAACGGCTTGCCGGAGCGAGCAGTTCAGACGGTCAAACAAGGCATTCTCAAACAGAGTGCAGGAACCCTGTAGACCAAACTAGACAGACTACTTTTTGATTATTAAACATCTCCTACGTAAACCACTGGGCGATCCCTAGCCGAATTAATGTTCGTTCTTACCCTCCGAAGAAAGTTACAACTACTGTTCCCCTCCCCCAGAGCAACAATAGAAAGAGAGCAGGAAAAGTTAAATGCATAATCATCTTGGACTGATGATCGCTCGTATAATGAGTCCAATCCGGTTTANAAGACTCCCATATGAGTACACATAGCATCCAGCTAAAATCGTTTCATCTACTGGTAACACCACCACTCTGAAGTTCGGCGATGGGCGCATTGTTTGCAGACACTTCGACCACGTTTGACCCCGCCCGGCTGAAAGTCTCGAAATCGACGATGATTCACTCAGAACCGACCAACCGAACAGTTCTCTAAGTACCCCTTCACAAACCACAAANAACCACAAATGTCCAACCAACAGAGCCCGCTCTACGCAAGTCTCAACGCATCCCTAAACCAGTTGATCGCTATGGGGAAACAACGTGCCACGTTATCTAAGATACAGAGAGGTTCTACGTACTTCTATCAGTTCCCATTGCCAGTCTAATCACGTGGCACAGTTGTCCATGACGAACACTGACTAATACCCTTCCGATTCGCTTTCTCCGTGCTCCGGTTTAACCTAGTTTTAGGTCATAGTTTAATCGTTTGAGGTATTCTCACGATCATTCATCAAATCTTTAACCCGGTTGCGATGAGCACGCTCTCTTGGGTGTTCTGATTCCTTGTGTTGGGTTACGGGCCCTAAAAATACAGTTCATAGCGTCGCGGTTAGAATTCGGTCTCAATACTTTCCTTATGTATATACAATCATGTACTGTTACACAATAGCTGGGTTTTACTTTGTCATAGGCATTGTAGAATGGCTTTTTATGAGAACTAATGTTAGTGTGATATATACCAGAATCTGACTGACGGTTTGGGAAAGGTTCGGATGCGGGCACGAGCAACCCTCAGTGACATAGACCGGGCGCTTCCCGGAAGAACGGAGATCGATGCTAGTGGCTAGTCGCAGTGGTGGAAAAATTTCAGGATTATAATTAAATTCCTGATTGTTTATTTTTCACGCACACAGAGTAGAAAGAGTGCATTCCATAGCCATGAGGATCTCTTGTTCGGTTATAGGAACCAAAAGCCCTTACTTTAGGAGTTGGAGTAATGAACTGTGTAAGGCTTGAACAGGTATTGAACCGGAATCCGGTGATGCAGTGACACGTATGTGCCAGTGCGCACCAGTGACAGAGACTAAAACCGTTTGTAGTGACGGATGATGTAACACGTGGAAGAAGACAAGTTTTATTTGACAACAAACTGAGGATTCTTGAGGACTGTTTGATTCAGTGGTTTACTTATCATATTCCGGAATATCACGAGGTAGTCTGTAACCATCCTTTAGAAAACCGTGCAATGCGGATTTCCGAATTGATTAATGGTTTTCGATCCCAATATTATACTGAGCTGCCCTCCGTTTCAATCAAGGACATTCGAAAACCGAGATGTACGAATGTACAGAACTACGCCTTTTTAGTTTACAGATCGAGCGTGTATACTGCTAGCTAGCACTAACACAATCGTCCAAGACATTGACCTCGAGGTCACAAATCTCTGTTTGTTAAGTGTCATCGATGAGAAATGATGCTAATGGGTAACGAATAATCTATAAAATGTATCATTTTGATCAGATAAGCTCAGACCTCCTGCGGTGCGACTGGATTAGAGTGTTACGTAAGAGCACATAAACAGACGAGAAGGAGGAACATTTTCCTTGTGCATCAATGTGCTTACATCAGATGTGGTCCAATGGTCAAAGGTCATGGCGGGGCCTACCACACTGTGACATATTCAGAACTGACCCGAATCGAATTCACTTAGCCTCCGAGTCAGTTGAAATGAATAGTCTGAGTAGGGTACTATTTATTCAACACTGTTCGCAATTTTCTATTGTAAGGAACTGGATCTTCCCTGTAGCATGACAAGCCTTCTAATACTGTCCGAAGAAGAAAAAACCTGAATCCTAACACTAAACGTTTGACCGAAAACTTTTGACTACCACTGCGATGTTAGCACCAAAATACCGTTTTAACAAGTCCCTTATGAACACCTGTTAGGAATCAGAAAGACATCTGTTTCATGAACGTCCGGAGCGACAATAAAAAATCAAGCATGAATATACAATGAAAAATCGATAGATAGATGAGAGTATTGTCTGACTGACCGTGTTCACAATGTGATCCCGTGAACCCGTTCGAACATTCACATCTGTAATGCGTCGTATCAGCACCCAGTCGGACGCAGGTTCCCCCGTTGAGGCAAACTTTTGGATTTACACATTCCAGTGTGTGCTGAATACGTTCCACTGCGTCTGACCCATCCACCGCCCTGTTCGAGTTCAGTTTGCTGACGGTTGCAGATAAAGCGATCGGTTTTGTATAGCAACCGGGTAGTATACCGATCGCGGTACCGTGTTGTTTGGCCTCAGCCGGTCTTTCGGAATGATTCTCTTCGGCGCCGGTCATTTTGTCCACGGGCGCTCCAAACAAGCGCGCCAGATCTATTGGTCGTTCATTGATTTGTACATCTTGGATACAGCCTAATGAAGGGTAATGTCATAGCAAATTTAGTAAAGCCGCTCATCTAAACTGGTGACTATGGATGACCAGAGTGGACGGAACGTTTTATTCTATCTACAGTCAAATAGTTGTATGAACGTGGGGGATCAAAAGCTGGAGAATGTAAGAGTTGAGTTCGGTAAGCACAAATGGATGGAATTGGTGCAATGAAAATGACTTCGTTGCTGCCGCTGGATGAATACTGTATGACCACATAGCCTCCCAATCTAAAATGATACGGATAGACTTGGAGGGAAAAGGCAAACCTGCATTTAAAGACAGAAAAGTAGTGGTTGTTTCTTTACCCTTTGTGCGTCATTATACTCTATTTCCTAATTCACGTTCCAGTTTTAAGGAAAAACTAACGGTATACAAAAGAGTATTACCAAGGTATAGAACACAAAAGAAGCTAGATGTGCAAAGTAAACAGGTGCACGAGGTCCAGTGTTCACTATCCTCAACCAAATCACTTGGGTTTTCGAACCAAATATGACAAATGATGCAGTACAGTTGATTTTTACACTCGCATCGGTTTACTGGCTGATCGCTGGTTGGTGTTTTACAACCGCTGCTCTTTGAGGTACACACTACGCGCATAGAAGTCTATTTGATGACATACGGGACATATGCCCCATCCCTTGCTTTCTACCGAAGCTGAGCTCTCATATCAGTGTACCAATGTTTGTCAAAGCCCTGTCTGGTTGTACTACCAGAATAGCGCGATGCTGCGTGGTCAGCCTTGTTCAGCTACCGGGTTTCGTGTAGTTTCTTCACACAGTGATCATGGTTATACCTAGCACAAACCTGTTATCAAGTGCAAGTTGAATTGCTAGCGAGCCTTCTCTTCTTCTTTCAGATGAATGGTCATAACAACTTTGAAAACGCCCAAGTAGGTTTCCGAAACTCAGTGATCGTTTATGGTCCTATGTAAGGGGTGACTGTCAAGTTTTGATTGATTCTAAGATCAAATCTGGGATGATATCCTGATAACAGTGATCTCTCCACCAGCGGTTTAAAGTAAATGGATAAAAAATCAGAGGACTTGTTCGTGTTACATCTGAGAACATCTTTGCTCAGTCTACGCACCGGTCATTCCCAGGACGGAGTCTTGGCGCAGTATTCGTCCAGCTGCTTCCAGTCGGTCTGCTGGAGCACCACCGAAATACAACGGGTTGGTCAGCGCCAGATGACGAGCAGTTGTTCTGTTCTCCTTCAACCCGATTGTTGTACCAATGGATTGATGCACACCGGAGTCCGCTGGATGCAGGTCCTTCTGAACTAACTGGTCAACAAGCAGTGTGAGATTACTGCGTTCCACATGGAGCTGAATAACGTGGGCATGTCCATCGTTTACCTAATTAAGGTACAAGGTATACGGAGAGGATAAAGAGAGAGAGAGAGAGAAATAAGGCAAGCGATGAGACTGTTCTGTGAATACTCAGTCAGTTCTAAAACAAAAAGAACAAAATAAACAGTGCACCGATAGATGTTCATGACGGACAACTTGCAGATGCAGGAATAAGCTGGCTGAGTGAGTTCTTCGGTCCTCTGCACCATACAAAGTTAATAAACTTCTATCGATTATATAACCATGATCGTTTTAACCAGTTTGCAAGGTGTAGTCATTTATTGCTGCACGTAGAAATGGCTGTCCGCAGAAAATCTTACTGTGCTTATATTCAATGCATAAACGCATATGTATCATTGGTTATACTTCTCCCCGGCGTGTATCCTTAGTTTAAAAGAACCACCTTGTTCTTTTGCGTTCCGATACACTGAAATAGACAGGATTCTTTTGGTTGAGCTTTTTTTATTTCAAAGAGTTTCAAAGCCTGTAATAAACTTATTGGCAGGATAGCAAGTGATCTGCATCCCAAAATCACAAAAGCTATGTTAAATCCCCGAACTCGCGCAGAATATCAACTCCTTCCGGTCTGTACTTCCACATACAGAAACTGTGTAATTCCATACCTGTCTGGGCTCTGGTTAGTCATACGAAAACTGTCACCTAATTTCGAGAAATACTTGCATTATAATTTTTGTTTTGCTACAATATTCAATGTCTTCTTGGTATTTTCTACCCCCAATTTTTATGCATCCACTGCACTAGTGCGTAAATTGCTGTAACTTCAACCTTAGGGTGGATAAAGTGTTTCTCGAGTTGAACAGGGAGAGAAAATATGTGCGTTTGTGCTGGTGCGCCCAAACTTGGTTCAGAATGGCTCAAAAAAATGAATTTCCCATTTGAGCATTTTAAAACATAGCCATGTCGATATTACTAGCCACACTGTAGTTGATTGAGTAGCAGGTTTTTAGAGTTTGGTTGGCTTAATGCAACTCATAATAGCTTGGCGGGTATAGTTGTTCACGCAAGAGAATAACGTGCAGTTTAGCGAGGGACAGCTTCATTTCGTGAACAATTTCACGGTGGAAAATTATCAATTTCTACTCGTTTACTGTTAATAACTGGAGACAAATGCCAGTAGGCTTGTTCCATACGAGAGGTTAATCTTCGTACTTCTACTGGTGCATGAAGTGCGCGTGTACACACCCACGCAAAACCCCGCAAGATAGACCACAAATGTTCACGATGGCATTTGACTCCGCATATTCATCGGTTTACGCACTAAATTACAAAAATACTCGTTGGTGTTGGAATTCGTGAAGACTGGATTCACTGCCACCTGTTCGGAGTGATCGAGTAACGAATTTAAAGCTAAACAAATAAATTATTTGGTGTACATGGAAGGTGATAACCTGTGTATTAAGGAACAATACTTTCGAACATCAATAATACTTTCAGGCTTGTTTAATCTCTATTGTGCCAAGTATTAGGTTTTCGGAATTCGGGGTCTCTAGAAGACCACGTAACAATAGAGAAACTTCCTGTTCCAGTTCATCCAGAAAGTTCAACAATGAATATCGAATTTTTAGTAGAAACATTCAGTTACGCGGTTGTGTGTGACCCCGGGCCATTTGGCGCAGGTTTTCACTATCTGAAATTACATTGTATTCCACTCTTATTTTTTAAACTTTTAAATTCCCTTTATTTAAATAGAAAAATGTACAATCAAGTTTCGGGAAGAGATTATTCAAAAGCTAAAAATTGTACAATGGAGTGCGAATTCTAGGTGGTAATGATAGGACCGGAACACATGATCTGTGAGATGAGGTCATGGTGACATTTTTCGATTAATCCTCCCCCAAAACAAGAGTCTGGTCTATAGAACTTACCGAATAACCCGGATCTATCAAGTGCATGATTTCAGTCACGAATCTCTGAGCCAATCCGGTTTATTAACTGTTATCTCGCGAAATTTGTCGGTCAGCTTACCACAGCCTGCGAATTAGATCACCGCAGAGGAAATGCACGGAAACTTCGTCAACAGAAAGCATTTGAACGGCATTTTTCCATCAACCATTTGGTTTTCCGACATTCCATTATGCGAAACAACCGAAAAATGCCAACCAGATTTTGACGAAGCGATAAAAGAACGATGGAGCAATCGCAATGTACACAACCAAAGATGGCGATGAAAAGCAAGCGCTCTTGTTTGGTAATCACGAATAATTCACCTAAAGTGTCTACAAGTTCCCTTCTCGAGACTTCGTGCCTGGGTGGAGTGATCGTCTCGCGGACGAGGGTAATATCGAATGGCTCCGAATAGTAAACGTCGCGGTCAGATACCGTGATTAATCTTCGCTCGCACACGACTAGAGAATTACGTTTCATTTACCCTCCGTCGAACTAAAGTGCACAATTAAATTGCACAGGGTGGTTCGTAACCTTGAACTCGTTGCGTATAAAGTTGGCGACTCGTATGATACGCACGCTGATCAATTCAGTATTTGTAGGTTGCAGGGAATCGTCATATAATGTGATTTGCCAAATGTAAACGGATTAATGTGAAACAAACTGATATTTCGATTTTTAACTCCTTTTGGGATGCGTCATATCTGAATGTCGTACCCAGGATGTCAGACATTTTAAAGTGCTGTGTGAAGTTCTGTTGATATTCCTTTCGGAACAATTTATACGTATATAGGTCTTTGTTAATAACACTGTTCAACTGCATCCGGTTAGGTGAAAGTCGCCCACTTGCATCAGACCTACGCACCTAACATTTAAACGAGTTTGCTACTGATGAGGTGATATGAATCAAACCGTCCTGACTGAATTATCAGAGCTGGTTTGTGTTGATGGGGTAACCGGCCAATTTATGCTGAAGTTAAGTGAATAACATTAGGTAGGAGGGGGTGGGAGAAGACCAGGAGTGACCAAACTAAGACCTAACACGAGGGTGAAAACTTTCACTTGAAACCTCTATTATTATTCGCACTAGGAGTCCCACATAGGGGCCTCAGGACCAGCCTAATCAGAATTCAAAGCCACTGGTTGGCTGAGTGTTAAATATTGGCGTTAGTGTGGTTACTCACTTTCCAATCAGGCGATAAATGTTAGGTAGTGGTCCTTAAATTTAATGATATCCGAATCTGTGCACTGACTTTGAAGTGAACAGAGTACTTGATCATCATCATTTTGCTCTCAAGGGTTTTTAGGCCTTCATCCTTCATCTATCCAGTTTCAACCGCAACCTGATTCAGAACCCTTCATCCCATCTACGGTGGAAATTTATCAACTCAGCAGAAGCCGAAGATGCACATTGCATCTACTCTGAATAGGCGTTACTCGGGCAAATCAAATGTTATGTTAAGCCTTATTCGAACGTGAACACTGTTCGGATTCGTTTGTACCGACTTGGTCCGGAGGACGGACCAAAAAGGCCAGGCTACGATGTGTCAAGTCTAAGGAACAATATGGAAATCTGTAATTTACTTGACTTGAACTCTTAAACCTACTCTTTTCTAATTGATTGACGAAATGGGTTGCCGAAAAAACAGTAGCCACAATTGTCGCTCCACAGCGCAAAGTCCGTTGTAATGAAAACTGATTTTATCCGACTTGGCAATAAATAATAATAAATCGATTTGTGTACCTGCGGTCACATCGCCTTGTAGGTGATATGTGCACAACTGACCGATCCTAGCTCGCCTTGCCTGTTGCAATGATGAAAATAGCCGCTTCCGGTTATCAAACTGAGTGTTCCTGTGTTTTTCATTCGGCCAAGCTTCTACTTTGGCCCGATGAAAAAAAAAGCCTTCGAACTTCCCGAAAGCAGGTAGTAACATATCAGGGGAAAAACTTACAACAGCTCAAACATTTTTCACTCAAAACGTGTGATAAAATCAAACAGTAACAACAACAACAAACACCTATCCACAAACATTCGAAAATAACAGCCGGGACAATGAACTGACCTTAAATTCAGAGCGTTTTCTAATGAGTGGCAGGTCCTTCGTCAGAGAGAACATAACACGAACATAGCCAAGATCCAGATCCACCAGTAAATACTGTTCAGGCAACTCGTGTTTCCCCGTTTTGACCAAGTCAGCGTAGTAAATCAGAATCCCGAATGTGCTGTGCGTGCTGACCTTCAGGGAAATTGTTCCCCGCGGTACGAGGGCACCACGACTAGGTGGAACAATGGCAATGTACGAATGGGCACTGGGGAGGCTGATGGAGAACAAGTGTTCACAGTACTGCCCACTGAATCCTGAGGGGCGAAATGAGAAGATCAAGAGAAAAACAACAGTAATCAACTTCGGACTATGTTACGTGTATAGGAACGGGCATTGGCGAAAGCTAACTGGCGGTACACTTTTAGGCAATCCCAGGAACATGAAATATGGTGTGTCCAATAGATGAATTACTTCATGAGACCCCCCCCAGTCAAACCATGGTCACTTTGAGTGTTGGATTCGAGAGAAAAAAGTGACCGCAGGACAGGACGACATATTATTGATCTTGTCTATAGTACAGTGAAAGCTCTGCGCGGAACCTCAGGTGTTCAAATGAAGAATCAATCATGTACAAATGACAGGAACAAAAAATGTGATATGTAAATAAAGCAGATACAGAAACCAAAGGTGTTTTTGAAACGCAGTGTATTTTGGCATCCAACAAAACAGCTGTATTCACAAATGAATTCCTGTCTGATGATTTAATCAATATACATCATTATGCATCGACCCTTGGCACCTACTTTCAGTGAAATCGAAACGCTGAGGTTCTGAAANAGTGAAATCGAAACGCTGAGGTTCTGAAATGCACTTGAAATAAGGGCCACACGACCCCAGTTTCGTGCATAGATCTCAACGAAATTCACCGCGTTTGCACGAGCGCATTGATGAAAACAGATAGTCTCTGAGATTCAAATAAATGAGTGAAGAATACTATTATTACATAAGCTGTAAAACTGAAAGCTGTTTGAATTTATTTTCCAACCATAAAGGGGTCAGCGTTACCCCGAAATTAGTTAATTTCTCTAGCGAGGCCATTGCTCTATCAGTTATTCGTATATCACATTCGAAATTTAACACATTAAACGCCCTGCACAGCCTGAGTGACGTTCACTATCGGTCTTAACCGAGTACGATGTCAGATGACGAGACGCAGGAGAATTTTTGCAAAATCGCGATAATCCTGCATCCATACCATAGAAACTGTACAAATGTAACAATATGTGATCATAGACCTGAGTACAAACGTTTAGTCGAGAAGCTTCAGAAGTACCAGGGGTTCGAAGGTGTGACCACGTCGGCTATTTGAATGATTGTGTGTCAGAAAGGAACAAATGCAGTTGTCCTCAGTATGTACTGTCACACCGATTAGCGGATATCGATTATAAAAGTCCATTCTATGAAATCGGTTGATTCGAAGGTTCTTTTCGGTCGTTTGCAAATTTATTCACCGGTCCAGATGTGCACCGTTGTTGTCGAAACCCAGTGCATCAAAAACCGTTTCACCGAATTTCATGTGACGACCAAATATTGCTTACAGAAGGTGACTACAATGGTGGTGTAAGTGTGTGTACGTGTGTGTGCTTTTGGGACACTCAATCAGATGCACACACCGAAACGTTGGAATGACGTGCTCGTCAGCGTGAGTTGCACTCAACGACCTTTCACGGATGCCATCGTGTTCGCTTTCTTGGTTTGACAGTAAAGAATTCGTTTCGCCCAGGATGGTGGCGTATTTAATCATCTACTGTGAGGGGAAAACGGTGCAATTCTGAACTGGAAATGTATTTTGAAGAAATCGGATAACGCATAAGTGAAAGAGAAGCAGAGTGACGGAATGGTTTCTCATAGAGCTTTTCACTGTTGAAAGCAGTACACCGCCGGTTCGACCCTGAAGACGTGCTCACATTGGATATTTTAAAACATATTTTCGTTTTAAGCACTGGGTCATCTTGGCAATTAGAATTTTGTGGTGAGTCAAACCTCAGAAATAACGCCAGCCACGAGGCTACTTGACCCAATTTCTGGACATCGGATCACATATCAACTAAGCGAAAGCCAGGCATTTCCAACAGAAGGCGTGTAACTCAAAAAACAGGAACGGTGATTGGTTGATGCTCGTTTGACCAATGATCTTTCTATTTACGTATTATTTAATTTCATTCATGTTTTATAATAAACTAGCCAATATTTCGTTCGCCTTCTTCCTGCATCTCGGTGAGGGGAGGTTCTGCCATACGATTACCGTGTTTTATTTGCGACTCGTGGTTGGTGTGCCTTCCAAGTACTACTACTCCTGCTTATATGGTCGAATGTATCGCTATAATATCGAACACCATTGCAGCCAGATTTCCCTTAGTCGCGGATCGGAAGAAAAAAGTAGCCCTTAAGTTGTCAAGGTTATTTTTAGGGGACAGGTGTTCATTAAATCCCATTAGTCATTTTCGGAACAGGATCAGCAGAATATACTGTTGAACAGTTGACAGAAACATTTAGTTTTACGTTGCGGTCTAACCTTCGTCGAATGGAAAACTAATCTGATGTTTGCCAAGGAAAGAAACGCTGTCCAATCCAAAAGCTGCAATAATAGGCCAAGTGTGGTTTCCTTTTGACCAAAATATGTGCTGCACCACGGCACGAAGATAACATAACTCGCTTTTTTAACGGTATCTCGATATGAAGATGTAGCTTCCACAGATTAACCTTTTTTAAAGAAGCTGGTCGACGCCGTTGGAAACCCTGGTTTAAATATTTGCATAACTGGTAATGGTGGTGTGTTTGACTGGGGAGAGGTGTTTTCAACTGCTACCATAGGGGTTTCATTTGATAAACATCAATTGGAAAAGTGTACTTAAGACATACGATGGCATAATGTATTGTCATCAGGAAATGACAACGATTAATCTGAAAAGAGGTTTGAATCACTACTTGTCAGTTCCATGGTTTGTTGACATTGGGCTGGCTCTAGTATTAACTTAGATGAAATCTTTGCAGATACCTGAGGAATCAAACAACTGAAGACATGTTTCTTGATGATCTTGCTTGCACTGCATTATCTTACACTTTCCAAGGCAAATTTAACTGATATGAAGTCTGACCGTAAGTGGAGAAAATGGTCCATACAAAACGTCTATATAGGTGCAATAGCGGTGGTGACAAGCATTGAATTAGTCAGCTGCTAATTACTATTACCAGGTCGTTCTACCTATTAGTCTTTGCTTAGTACTTAGTGTAAGGTCCTCTAATAAATCACGGTCAAAGTGCACCCACCCCTCACGGCCTGTTAGATCGTATGACCCGAAAGCTACGATTTGAAGAAAACCAAAGAAGCAGTTGGGGAATGAGTTTACCTCATGGAAATCATCCAATCATTGTGAGGGATAAAGTTGTTGTTAAGTCCTTGGTCAGATAAAGTCGAATTAAGTCATTTAGCCCTTGGTATACAACAACGGCCGAGGGGACACTAGAATATAGGCAACTCTATCACGACAAAGTACATCATTCATAACCAGTCTCTGATATTTGTAATGGACTATTCCCTGGTCTTAGCATGGTAACCCAGATAAAAAATATGTATAATGGAACGTTTACTTTTGTGTTTGTTCATGTATGTGGATGTGCTAGCACACAGGGTAGGTAGATAAATCGACAGTTTCATTTCTTCCCTTGTCAATACATGTGAACTTCGGTGTTAGAATGTCGGGCACCTGAAGAGTGATTAAAGTCATCTTAGAAAAGAAATAGCCGTATTGGAGTGTCCCTACCTGAAATGATCGATCGATCAAAAGTGCAAAAACCTCTTTACACGTAGCTGGACTATAAATAGCAGCGTATCGCCGTCCCAACAACCACATGGTTCGATTGTCTCCTACCTCTTGGCCCAAACGAGATGAACCATTCCAGCCAACCGGTCCGATCGATTGGTTTGATTGGGAGCATGACATTGCGGGAGAGTGTTAGGATCAATGAAAGCCTTGCACTTCTTCCCATTGATTCTCGTGCACTGTATAATTACCGAACGCCTGAAAGAACTACCCAGTTTTTAATTCCAGTGTGTTATCGGTAGAAAGCAATAAAAGCTAGTGTGACTATCTGATTTACGAACTCTGGCTGAAATAGGGTATCATATACACAAACTAGTCGGATATTTGCATTGGCAGATAACAATGCCTCGATAACCCCCACCCCTTATCATGTTTAATTTAGGAAAGGCGTCCAAATGCAGTTGTTCAATGCGACCGACAGTTACGAAAACTTTGAAGGCTATTTTAAACATTCGGCTCAAGCCTATTGGCAGCAGTCACTGAGAGTCCGCCACACACGTAACTATCACTCAGTCTGTCAGTCAGTCAGTCAGTCTGTGTGTCTACCCGCCTGTCTGTCTGTCTATCTGTCTAGAATGATTTTGTTATTGTACTTACAACTTCCGTACGCATAAAGTCTACATTTCAGGTAAGTGTACAAATTAGAGAGAGAGAAAACGAAGAGGAAAGAATGTTAAATCCCAAAACCTTTAACAATGTCTAAGAAAACCTGTTCTTTGTCAACTATAATACGTGCTAAAAAGGAACCTTACGATTTATGTTTATTTGGGAGAGAACACAACGATATCGGGATCTAGTTGCCCGGTTGCAGCAACAGGAAGTTAAATCTGTATGTAGTGGATGTGTGGGGTCGATAAGAATATTATGTACAAACTTCTCACATGCATTGAAATGACGCTCGCATAGTTTAGTTACAAAGTCCTTCAGAGGTATTGTACTTGGCTTGGTGGATGAGTATTTCTAGCATATAGGGAGAACAAAATATTATCTAATTGTTTGTTCGACGGTTGTCGTATCTGTAACACATGCGTCTAGGACTGGGAGATTTCATACAAATCCCTTGTGTATGTATGAAGATATCACATTCATAGTTAATTCTCGCACAGGAGCATATCACTAACCAAATAAGGAACGGTTTTAGCAAGTCCTCTCCCACCGTTACTCATTTAGAGGGCAATTGACGTCGATTTTGTATGTAATGTACTTTCAATAATGTGCATAAATCAGCTACTGGTCCCCTAGGATTTGAGGTAAAGAACTAAAAGAAAATGAACTATGAGGATGGTAAAAAGCAGAGAAAACTCGTGTCTTTATTGGATGATGCCAAGGTTGGACAAATAACGGAAGGAAACTTGGTGTTTATAAACAATTTTTGTCCGCTCCATTTGGAAAGTGGAACCTTACTCATACTCATACCGTAGATGGATCAGTTTTTTCCCTCAAGTTTGTCCGTACTTAAATTCCATCAGGAGTAAACGGACGGTGGTAGATTATCAATCACCAATTGTCACTTACTTTAATTTGCTATTAAATGGCTTACTCTAATATGAGAATAGATCGGTGTATAAACAAACCCATGTCGATAGTTGGGAAGTAATACAAATCGGCACCTCCATCAACACGCAACATTCCCTTGGAATAGACCAGTGCAGTTGTGACACAGTCAAGTGTCACCTGTAGACCTCCATGGTGATTGTGACGGCCTTGTTTTTTGGCGGGCCAGAGTTTTGATTATGATGACCATGGAAATTTATAGCTTTCCGTTCAGGGGAGATTGCTTACTTGTGATAAGCCACCACATCCTCGTTCTTGATGGTTTATTCGATTCACGATTAATCGCACAGGTGGTCAACTTTTCGGATTCGCAATCTGGTAACGCGTCTTATAGCCCATTCTGATACCCAGCCAGTTTTAATACCGACTCTCAAACACAGGGAAATCTTATGGTTTTGCTATTATTAGGTAATTTAAGGAACAGTACCGAAAGCGGTTCTGTGCAGAAATTAAAAGAATACTGGTTCACATTTGTTGTGGTCTACAACTGACTGATTTGTGTTCATACGTGCCTGTGGCCAAATTGATTGATCGATCGATCGACTGACTGTTTGAATGCTGGCTTGACGGCGTTCGCATCTAGTGCGACGTGTGAGCCGGTGTCGGCCTGCCTGCCTGCCTTCCCAACACGCTGCTCGTTCCTTCTTGTTCCCCGGTTTGTGAACCGGCTACATGTTTGCTGTTTACAATAAAATTGCTGCTTACTTCATTGTGTGCTCATTTACTTGGAACACAACAGCAATAATAATTCAAACAAGTTGAGTAACCAGGGTGCAGCTTTTGCTTGGTTTAATCGGACAAATTTATAGCACTTGGTTTTTTCTAAAACATTGCTCATCCTTCCTTCCCATTTACAGTCGGTGTGCAGATTTTCCAGTATTAATTGGATTTCGTATTTAGGATACGTTCATTTCAAGCAGATGGAAAGACTGAAAGTAGTAGTAGTGGTTATATGATGAGCTGGAAATTCATAACGCGGACGCATATGACCAAATTTATTCTTCCACTATGTTCTACAGTCATCGATCGCAACAACCGCATTCGTACAACGATCCTAAATTTGGAACTTTGGTTCATCCCATAAAGTGCGTATCGGTTTGTCACACTACGCTAGTATCACGTGATAAAGAAACGGACTAATCGTTTTTGGGCCAGTCCATGAAAATTGGTTCGGCCCCGTCGGTCTCAAGTGCATGCACAAACAGGCAACCACTAGCGTGGACTGGTGCTACGCCTCTGTTCATCTCGTGCCGCTGGCGTGAGACATCATTAATTTCACCCTGAAGGGGGGAGGAGCGTGTGAACAAGCGTCTATCGAATACGTGTCATTGCCACCCAATGCACTTCGTTCATCTTAAATTTCGTTTTGATAGGAACAGTACTGTCGGACCATAACAGTCGGACTGAAGAATAAATGCAACTTACTTCATCGAGGCACTGTCACATGTTTAATATGACTCATTGTCAAAAAGTTTGCTCTAGTCAGAGCTACCTAAGCCTTGCTTTCGGTATTTAGGGAACCGCTGCTCATAAATTCAGTCCACTGTCAGTTGTACATTCGTAAATCCCCGATACACTACACCTAATTAATTCTGCTAGACCAGAGTTGGTTGTGTACGCGTCTGGTTGCCTTTACTTACCTGGATTGCAAACACATTGGTATACATCACCTTGATTTTCCACACATGTTGCTTTGTTCTGGCATTGGTGATATGCGCACAGTGTCTCTAGGGGCGGCGTGGACAAGGAGCGAATTTTTATAGGTGAATGGCGCACTTCGGATGAGGTGAAGGCGAGCAATCTATTCCGCACTGGAAGTCGACGATCCATACGTGTGACGTAACTGTCTGGATTCCAGGTTGGACGTTCACAATAGATACCTGTAGTGTGACGGAAATTTGATCAACGGGTTTGATGAGTTTTGACGAAAAGACAGAAAAGCAATGCATGTTTACTAGAGGGCGGTGATGTCAGCGTTGGGAGCCAAGTGAGTAAACAAAATTTACGAATGATACAAATGAGGTGAATAGATTATCTACATACTTCCCATCCTATCATTCCAATTCACAGTCACGCATACAAACACATCGTTTGCGATCCGTTACCTGATATTGAACTCCCGTTTCGTGTAAGGTCATGATCTGAACGTGGGACAAAAGGAAGCTGGTCGCATTCCTATTGCTTCCGATACACAGTTATACTGGCCACTTCTCTTCTTCGGCCTTCGCCCAGTTATCCCTCCTAAAAATTCCACTCCACTGGAACACGAGGACCGCTACCCACAAAATGGGGTGGTCTGACTACACAGTTTGGTTTAAAGGTGCAACCGCAGTATTGCGGTCATGTGAAAAGGAACGAAGGTTTGTTGGTTCACGTACCTCAAAGTAAAGCCACAAAACTAACAACCCCCGTGTGAGAAGTAGTCAGACGCGGAATGTTTTATTAAGTCATAAACTTGGACGTCATCGATAGGATACGTGAGGCACGATGGCCGCAACAAGCTTGCAAAACTGGTCGCGTGACATCATATATGGGCAATGAACTATCTGCGGATAGCACAGCTGAGTGTTACCGAGCGCGTCTCCAGGTCGTGTATAGGAGAATGGGCACTCTGGTGGTTAACCATGAATAGTTGGGCTAACTTCACTGAATAATCGGCCGCGGACGATCAGCGGCGATGCTAGAGGACGTGGTGGGGTTTTCGACTGGCAACCGATATCCCGTTCAAATGCCACAAGTGTTTGCTGACAGCATCGCGACGTGTGCGAACGTTGCCGCCACCAAATAAGGCCATTGCTAGTAGCCTACTCTTACGAGTAGGACAAACTCTGAGGAATGCTACCTCGCGGGCACGTTAGCCGCATCATTAGAGACATCCAGGAAGCCCACTTATCCTCCCACAGGAGTTAATCGATCAAAAGTAAAAAGTGAGTAAGTATACATGGGCAAAATGCTCAACGGTCTCATCTAATGCCAAGCGATCAAGTGGGTAGTACGTATGCGTTTTAAGTATGAGGTGCAGATTCAATCCACAATTGGGTAGACTGATCCGCAACGACGATGAGAATGAGCCCAGTTGAAAATGTAGTACAGCACATCCTAGATATTTCAGTTCGAACTCCGTTAACCCCATGAATGATAGAGTTCACAACGTAATAAAATCCGATCCTGAAATATTTCACCGCACCAATCAACTTTTCCGAGAGGTGATGGACGAAGCTCCCACCCCACAGCGATGAATGAATGATACTAATTTCTCATGGAATGCCAAAATAATCCAACCCAAAGTTTCTCTCTACTTGATTCCGTTGATACGTAAAGCACCCACGGTGCACATGTTCGTCCTCGCACACATTCTACCAAATATGGATAACCTGTGGACTTGATAGCACTATCCGTTTAGTATTTTTTCGATATATTCATGAATCAATTTATGGATTGTTGTCTTTGTTGCGCGGTGTGAATGTGAAAAATGGTGTGGTGTTGTATTTAGTTTTGGACGAATGGTTGTATATCTCAAAGCGCGTGGAGGCGCGTGCCTCCGTGGCGCAATCGGTTAGCGCGTTCGGCTGTTAACCGAAAGGTTGGTGGTTCGAGCCCACCCGGGGGCGG